TCGCTGCTATGAATTTCTCTCATAAGACTGCTTTCATTGTGTCCCATAAATTCCACTATGTTGTATTGTCATTGTCATTTAATTGAAGGAACTGTCTGATTTCTTATTTAATTTCCTTTGTGACCCATTGGTCATTCAGAAGTGTGTTATTCAATTTCCATGGGTTTATGAAATTCTTGTGCTTTCTTTTGCTATTGATCTCCAATTTCATTGCACTATTGTCTGATAATATACAGGGGATAACTTCAGTTCCATTGCCCTTACTTAAATATGTTCTATGAGTGACTATGTGGTCTATTTTGGAGAACAATCTGTGTGCAGCTGAAAAGAATGCATATTCTGATTTTGTGGGTGGAACACTCTGTAAACATCTGTTAAGTTCATTTATTCAAGAGTTTGATTGAGTTCTAGTATTTTGTTATTTTTTGCCTAGTTAATCTATGTATTTGTGACAGTGGGGTATTGAGGTCCCGCACTACTATTGTATTAGTGCTTATATGATTTTTCATGTCTGTTAGTATTTGTTTTATATAGTTGGCCACACTAGTGTTTGGTGCATAGATATTTATGGTTTTCATCTCTTCCTCATGGATTGTTCATTTTACAAGGATGTAGTGTCCTTCTTTGTCTCTCTTAATCAGTGTTGGTTTGAAATCTACATGATCTGCAAAAAGGATAGCTACTCCTGCTTTTTTTCAGGTTCCTGTCATATGGAGTATTGTTTTCCACCCTTTAACTTTCAGCCTATGAATTTTTTTAATTAAGTGTGTTTCTTTTATACAGCATATTGTTGCATCTTGATTCTTGACCCATTCTGCCAGTCTATTTCTTTTGACTGGTAAGTTGAGACCGTTAACATTGATGGTTATAACTGAAAGGTAATGACATAATTTTTATGACTTTTTTTGTTGGATTCTCCCCCTTTGCATTTAATATCTTCTCATGCCTGATGGATTCATTCCACCAGGCTTCCTGGGGTTGTGATCCTCATTGTCTTTTCTTAGGATACTGTCTAAAATTTTTTGGAGTGCTGGTTTGGTATTCTTGAAGTTCCTAAGGTGCTCTTTGTCATGAAAGTATCTTATTTCTCCATCCATTTTGAAAGATAGTTTTGCAGGGTACATCA